ACCTTTGACCACCAACTATTGTTCTCAACAATCATCACCATTTTACTGTTTTCATAGCCCACTCAACCTCTTGATTTCCCCTATGTCCATTGTCCTTGACAAACATGGCCTAAATCACTTGCTAGGAACTAGGCCTCAACCACTACCTATTTTATAGAAACGATTGAGGCCTTCTCTTACTATTATGTCCTCGTTTGACATAAGACTTTTTGAAGGTTAGAAGTTAATTAGTGCTTATTTTGAAAATTTGGCTAAAAGTTAATTTTTTTAACTTTTTCAAGTTAAATCATCTCTTTACTTTTTTTTAAAAAAAGTCCAAATGTCAGTTTTTAATCTACTTCCTAAACCAAGCCTTAGACAAAGATAAAATAGACTAAAAATTCAATAAGATAAAATATCACATCGAAACCATAAGCATTTCACTTTCTCTCTCATAAAAGTCAAAAAATCCAAAAACTTCAATCCAAATAAACTTTTTAATTTCAAACTAATAGCCAAAAAACTAACTCACTTCGCAAACGAAAGGTGAGAGGAAGATTTGTGCCGAACAGTGGGCCGAGCTTCACCAACATGGAATTTGGTGTTGGATGAGAAGACCCTGGGACGCGTCATTGGGCTGGATTGAGGTTATCCGAGGTGCGTTTGGCCAAGCGTGATCCGCACGAAATGTAGTGCCAGGCCGAGCTAGGCCTATGTAGAATATCGTGTCGGCCAGACCCAGCCGAGCTGACTCAGCTGGAGGGCAAAACTACTTTATCGTTAAGTTCCAAGGCAACAGAGTCACGTGAAGACCGAGCTGCGGACTAATACTATCACTGAGGCAGGCGGTCCGTGAGACCGCGGTCAGAAGCCGAGATGCCGAACGATGTGCCTACCTCCAGTCAGTAATGATAGGCTGGTTATGATCCAGCTTGGCACGAAGCGACCAACGTAGTGTTATTGGTTCACAAGTAATAGCCCAGTTGAGCATCCTACGTGGACCAATAAAGAGAAGAGAGAAATACACTCCTGGTATGTGTCAATATCATTTGGCGATACGACAAGCATTGTTTGGAGGTTTTGGTCTCTACACGTGTAAGAAATGTAGAGGGGAGCACAACCGCCTATCTAGAGAAGAACATCAGAGGAAGTGTGTCCACAATCTCTGAGGTTGCATGGCCAACCTTGAAAAAGAGGAGCATGCAGACGTTAGAGGTAAGCAATTTTGTGCAACTCTCTCTCTTTCTACCGCGCTCTACCTTCTCTCTTCTCTTAGCAAGCTAACTTGACCATCGAAGGGGTTTTCCGGCAAACCCACGCACCGGGTAGCTTACCTTAATCTTATTTACAGCGTGACGGAGCTTTAACGGAGTGCAACAAGCTTGGAAGCAAGTAAGTACGGAGTGAGGCAATTATTTCTTTCCCCCTACAATTAGTGCCATCTGTGGAAAGCTTTTTGATAGATAACCCTTGTTCTACAATCTTTTTCGACTGTTTTCCATGGCAAACACTGTCCGTCGTCGACGGAATCACTCTAGAGTCAGTCTGGAGAAAAGATGGCCCTCCCGCCATTTCGACAATGGCGGGCCTGCAGACCTCCTCTAGAGAGCTATCCAGAGACGCGTGAGACAAACACGCGAGGAGCACTGATCATTCGTAAAGTCCTGAGGGACGTCGGCAGAGAGGAGAATTGCACGCTCAGCGCCTAGAGCATAAACTCAGAGACCAGGACGCCCTCATTCGGAAGATGGCGGCTGATATGGAGACGTTGAAGCAACAAATCAGAGGGAAGGGTGTTGCTGGAGTGGGAAACCACGGTGAGTGCACCCAACCCAGTCGCTCAGGCAGCCAGAGTTTCAAATACTCCCTACCATATTCCAAAAAACTTAAAAATGCAACTTCCTGACAAATTGAACGAAACCAGGAGTTGACAAAACTATAAAAAGTCACTAGCACTATCCACAGACATAAAAAAAATATATATATATATTGAAATAAGTTTAGAAACTTGTCACACATTGAAGAGAGAATAAAAGCTAGAACTTTTAATAAAGAGTTATATTGAATATTCTTATGAATATGACATTATGGTATGGATGCTAGTTTATATGCATATGTCATCCGCACACGCCCGTGCATCATGGGATTCAAAAGTTGTCAAGTCTTTTGTAAACTTTTTTTTTTCTAATAATATAATATAATATTTTATTTGACATTTTTGATTAATTATTATTTATTTGCTTTTAAAAACCCGTCGATACTCACAAACTTTTCAAAAGCCATTTTTAAGTATTAGGATCCTATGAAGTATTGCCCCTGAAGTGATCCCTGAAGTGTGTTGATCCGACGGCTAAAAATATAACTAACCAAAATGACGTCGTTTTGGTTAGTAATTTCAAAAAAAAAAAAGAAAAAAAAAAGTTGATTTCATTCAAAATGAAAATCATTCCCTCCAGTATCAACACAGCTGTGTGGTGGGAAAGAGAGAAGAAGACAGAGAGAGAAGAGAGGCGGGAGTGTCGTCCAGCCATTGCCGTCGTTGCCGCCGTCCAATCATCGTCGCTGTTGTCCCGTCACCGCCGCCATCGCTGAGGTGTAGGAATATTTCATTCATCCCTTTTAACATTGTAAAAATCTATACATATATACCCCAATCCCCATAATTTTTTCGACTCAAATTTTTATGTACTTTTGAGGTTTTTGTGTGGTTGCCATTATGTTACTTCATGGAAGATTGAATTTATTATGATTTCTGTTGTAGTTTCTCATGATGATGGATCGAGCTGCTTAGTTTCCAAATTTCGTATGAAAATCTTGTTAATTGTAAAATCAGCTTTTGGGACCAAACTTGTTAATTGTAAAGATTTATTGATTAGCTCCAAACTTGTAGAGATGATTGTTTCTGGGACCTCATTCTGTTAATAAATTTGAAATTCAGTTTTTTTTTTTTGTTTTTTGCATTGTTCTGGCTTAGCAAGAGGACTGGCCCATACTCAGACTCCCATGTCTTAGAAAGAAAATGAAGATCATTTTTCGAGTTGATCATGGTTGTCATGAATTCAGTATATGTATTGTTTAACTATAAGTTTATAACCCGTCTATGCTTTTTGCACATCATTACCTCATTCTGTTAATAAATTTGAAATTCAGTTTTTTTTTTTTGTTTTTTGCATTGTTCTGGCTTAGCAAGAGGACTGGCCCATACTCAGACTCCCATGTCTTAGAAAGAAAATGAAGATCATTTTTTGAGTTGATCATGGTTGTCATGAATTCAGTAGATTTATTGTTTAACTATAAGTTTATAACCCTTCTATGCTTTTTGCACATCATTTATAGGATGTGCTTTTGGGCAAACCTTATTTATTTATTTTATTTCATATTAGTAATTTAGATATTATCTTGATCAATATTGTGCAATTGTAGGTTATAGCCATTTGATTGATTTTCTTACCCTTTTCTTTTTGTTTGCTGTGGAGGTGTGGAAACTTGTAGGCATTTTCTTTAATAGGGATGGTTAAAAATAAATGAAAACAAAAAATTAGCTTTAACTGACCTAGATTAAAAATTATCATCATGGTTTATTGTTATGGTTATCACTTTAGCTGATAAGTGATGTTTGTTTTTTAAATGTTTGGTGCAGTCAAAGATAATGTATATAAATAGAAGTATCTTACATTTCATTCATCCTTTTATTTTGTTTGTTTTTGTCATTTAATTTTAATTTTGATTTTGTATGTTCACGTGTTGATCATAAGAAAATTAAGGAATTTGTGTTAAATCTGGATCATTTAAAACATAATTTACCATTGAAGGGATTTGTGCCCCTTTGTTTATATAATCTAATATGATTCCATTCTTGTAGTGTTTTTATTTAGTTTGTATTATTTTGCAAACATAATTTACAGTTTTTATGCCAATATTGAGCACTTTTTTTTTTTTTTGAAGTGACTTGGCACATTGATATGGAACCTAACAATGCTGAGAATGACAGGGGTGATTGTGATTGGAAGCTTAGAGTTCACATGACATTTGATACAAAACAAGAAACATATAATTTCTATAATGCTTATGGAGGAAGGATGGGGTTTAGTATTAGAAGGGGTTATGTAAACAAGAACAAGGAGGGGCAAATCACATCAAGGCTATTTGTTTGTAATAAGGAGGGGTTTTGGGGTGTAGACAAGTGAGATCCATTAACAAAAAATCCTAGGCAGGAAGTGAGGACTGGTTGTCAAGCCCGACTTATCATTAAGTGGGATATGAATATTCATAAATTTTTTGTTGGTGAGTTTGTTGAACAACATAATCATATTTTTGTACCAATAGAATGTAAGCATATGTTACCATCCCAAAGGAAGATATCTGCATCATAGGCAAACGAAATAGATTTAGCCAAAAAATCTGGAATCCGGCTTAACGCTGCATTTGAGCTCATGGGTAATGAAGCTGGTGGAAGGGAGTTGCTTGGGTTCACAAAAGTGGACCAAAAAAATTATTTGAGAACAAAGAGGCAAAACAGTTTAGCATATGGGGAGGCAGGTAGCATTTTGCAATATTTTTGTAAGAAGACATTGGAGAATCCATCTTTTTTTTACTCGGTCCAGTTAGATAGTGAGGAGAAGATTACAAACATATTTTGGGCCGATGCTCAGATGATCATGGATTATGGGCAATTTGGTGATGTTGTGACTTTCGACACTACTTACAAGTTAAATAGTGTACATAGACCATTTGCGTCTTTCGTTGGATTTAACCATCATAGGGAAACTGTTATATTTGGCGTAGCTTTGATGTATGATGAGACTGTTGATTATTTTATATGGCTTTTTAGAAGATTCTTGGAGGCAATGTCAAGTAAGGCTCCGAAAATAATTTTTACGGATTAGGATGCTGCAATGGCTAAGGCCATACCTATTGTCATGCCTAACACAAAACATCGCCTTTGAACTTTGCATTTGATGCAAAATGCATTAAGGCATGCAAATTCTATCTTCAAGGATAAGGAGGTGAAGGATAAGGGGATGAAGAGCGTTTTATCCAAATTTATGTACGACATTGAGGGTAAGGATGATTTTATGTTAAAATGGGAGGAAATGCTTGACAAGTATGAAGTGCGAGATAATCATTGGTTGAAGTTAACATTTGGGGTCAAGGAAAAATGGGGTTGGCCATATGTTAGAAATGCATGGAGTGCGGGTATGAGTAGCACCCAACTTGGTGAATCCTTTAATGCATTCTTGAAGGATTTCATTCAGTCTGATCATAACTTAATGCAATTTTTCATGCATTTTGATCGAGTTCTTTGTGAGAAGAGGTACAAAGAGTTACAAGCCAAATATGCTCTATGCCAAAAGTTGCCAATGGTGAATATTAAAGTAAGATTATGGAACAAGCTGCAGATGTTTACACAAATAAAATTTATGAAGAATTTCAAGATGAGTATGTCAAGTCCCTTGAAGTAAACATTGAAGAAACTGAAATTTGTGGTGAGAGTACCATTTATACGATTCTTGATAGTGATGGTGTAAAGGTGAGGAAGGTGACAGTGGAATGTGATGGTTCACTCACTTGCAATTGTAGAAAGTTTGAAATGAAAGGCATTTTGTGTAGTCATTGTTTGAAGATCCTTAGAGAAACCCTCAAATTCAAAGAGATTCCTTCCCAATATATTCTCAAGAGATGGACTAAAAAAGCAAGAGCCGAAAATGTGAAAGATAGGTGTGGGCATGATATTAAGGTTGATGTAAGATTGCATCAAACTTCACGCTTTAGATCATTGATAGCAATTTTTAGAGCAGTAGCATGTAGAGCTTCCGAAAGTGAGGAAACATATAACTTGACGGTAGAGAAAGCGGATGACTTAATTGCAAACAATGAAAGCATGTTAAGCACAAAATTCAATATGTCTTTTTCAGATACTATTGAACAAGAAAGCCCTCCCGACACATGCCTCGAAAGCTTTGAAGTGGATGGTGTAGTGGATACAAATGTAGTTCAAGCAAAAGGACTCAAACGAAAAGAGTGCACTAGCAAGGGACGAAGGCGGACAAAAGGTGGTTTGGAGCTTGCGTTGGCAAAGAAAAATAAAACAAGTTCACATAATGCTTCTCAAACTCCCATGTTTGTTGCTCCTCAACCTAGTTCACACAATGCTTCTCAAACTCCCATGTCTGTTGCTCCTCAACCTCCTCCCTTATTTTCGACGAGTGCTCCTGAACCATCTCCCTCATTTTCACCGAGTATTCCTCAATCAGCTCCTTTATTTTCAATAAGTGCTCCTCAACTTCCTCCATTCTCGACGTGTGTTCCTCAACATAATGCTTCGTCTACTCAATTTATGTATCTCGCCTATGATGTAAGTTAGTTTAATAAGAAGTTTTATTATGACTTATTTGTAATGAAATATGTGCTGAAATGGTGCTCAAAGTTGGCTGATATGTTGCTGAAATTTGTGTTGATATGTTGCTGAAATATGTGCTGAAATGGTGCTCAAAGTTGGCTGATATGTTGCTGAAATTTGTGTTGATATGTTGCTGAAATTTGGTTGAAATGGTGCTGAAATTTGTGCTCATATGTTGCTGAAATTTGTGCTGCTATGTTTGTGAAACTTGTGCTGATATGTTGCTGAAATGGTGCTTAAATTTGTGCTGATATGTTGCTGAAATTTGGCTGAAATGGTGCTCAAATTTGTGCTGATATGTTGCTGAAATTTGGCTGAAATGGTGCTCAAATTTGTGCTGATATGTTGCTGAAATTTGGCTGAAATGGTGCTCAAATTTGTGCTGATATGTTGCTGAAATTTGGCTGAAATGGTGCTCAAATTTGTGCTGATATGTTGCTGAAATTTGGCTGAAATGGTGCTCAAATTTGTGCTGATATGTTGCTGAAATTTGTGTTGATATGTTGCTGAAATATGTGCTGAAATGGTGCTCAAAGTTGGCTGATATGTTGCTGAAATTTGTGTTGATATGTTGCTGAAATTTGGTTGAAATGGTGCTGAAATTTGTGCTCATATGTTGCTGAAATTTGTGCTGCTATGTTTGTGAAACTTGTGCTGATATGTTGCTGAAATGGTGCTTAAATTTGTGCTGATATGTTGTTGAAATTTGGCTGAAATGGTGCTCAAATTTGTGCTGATATGTTGCTGAAATTTGTGTGGATATGTTTCTGAAATATGTGCTGAAATGGTGCTCAAAGTTGGCTGATATGTTGTTGAAATTTGTGTTGATATGTTGCTGAAATATGTGCTGAAATGGTGCTCAAAGTTGGCTGATATGTTGCTGAAATTTGTGTTGATATGTTGCTCAAATATGTTCTGAAATGGTGCTAAAAAATAAACAGAAGAGAAGCCCAGGCAAACTCAACTTCACATCATACTTGACATAGCAACACATTTAGGTTATGTTCAAGTCATGGGAATCTCATTCTAGTTTGATATCAGCAAAAAAATAAGTTTATTAGGGCAACAAACATGATTTCCACAAATTCTCAATAATCATAACCCTTCAATTTGAATAAAACATTATTCCATTTGAATTTCCAAAAATTTGTAAATATATGTTTGGTCATAACAATGGTGATCAATTGAGCGGGACACAAATCTGAACATCACAAGAGGATATAGATCATTGGAGTGTCTTGATTTACATCTCAGAAATAAGAAGAGGACCACTCTCTTTGTATCCAACACAGTAATCAGCAATGGGCCACTGATAACATTTTCATGTACCATCAAAGTTAACAAATGGCAATAGTCCATGGAAGTCTATATATGTATACATGGACCATTGTCCTTGATATCTTCAGTAACAGCATAAACTAAAAGCACAAAAACAGTAACATACCATACCAATAATCCAAACCAACAATCCAAACAAACAAACAAAGTTAACAACCAACTTAATTTACACATAATATTTAGTTCACAAAAGGCGAAGTCCAAATCCGAATTTAAATTACACTTAATTTTTAAACAACAAAAGAAGTCCAAATCCAAACAACATTATTACAACGGCGTAGTGCAACCTTTTCCCAAGTTGTCTAATCTCTACAACCATTTGTTTACTTTCTTTCGTAAACTTTGTACCCATCTCTTTCAGCTCATCATTGGATACAATCACTTCGTTGGCCAAAGAGTTGATATTACAATTGTCATCGCTTTCCTCCCTTATCATCTTCAACAATTGACGCTACTTATATACAGGCATCCACCACTCAAAGAAGCCGCATCCATTGGTGTTGTTTGAAGGGCAAGCAAAGTATACCATCCCTGGATTGCCTTTTGACTCTGAAATCCTGAATGCTGCTCTCACCCCGCAACGACATTTTCGATTTCTAAACTGAATTTCACTAATATCAGTCATAGATGCATTTGATGTTGACATTTTTTTACCTGACATAACAACAATGGAACAAAAATGAGTAGGACTCAAATTCTAAATCACACGAAATGGATAATGGGAGTGAATCACATCAAATTCTAAATCACATGTAATGGGTAATGGGTAATTGATCAGTGGATTTTGATATATATTTCTTATTGGTATGAAATGTTTAGATATGGTAATATGTTGTTTTGATTTATGAAAGGCATTATCAGAGTAAGTATGCATGAACCCTTTAATTGCTAGTGTTGCATTTTCGAGTATTGTCAATTTATTCTTATCCTTCTCTGAGTCATAAAAATATACAGTTAGAAATAACAAGGGCCATTGGATGAAAGGAATTAAGGCACCGTTTGGATGGATGGTTTTCAAACTAGTGGATTCAGGATTAAACTTTTTTAAAAATGTAGGAGAGTTGATTATTATTGATAGACTAAAAAAACTAATGGGGAAGAAAGATTTGAGTTAGAAGATAAGTATTTTCCTATGATTTTACCCAATTAGAATATGTGCATTGTTATTTCAAATCCATTATAATTTATCATGAGTCACGACAAGACTCTCAAAGTCAATCAACGACCAAATTTAAATTTGAGTTGTCCCCTTGAACAATAAGTTATCAAATCTTTTTTCCTTAAAATCCATAATTCAAATACACGAAATATGTACACACTTTTTGTCATCTCAAAGTAGTAAATGATGTGAAAGAGGAAATATTTTTTCAAACTCTAAATTCCAATATGTCTAGGGAATTCCAAAGCCTCAATAAAATGAGAAGTAAATAAAAAGATTAGCCCTGTAACAACTATCATCATCATACCCACAAAGACCCAATTGCAAATTGAAGAATAAAATATACCCAATTCACCAAAAACACCAAAAATAAGGCTTTCAATTTCTAATTCACACATAAGTTTGTTAAATTTCTCATCCAATTGTTCTATTCCAATATTTTCCATTAGGGTTTTTGTAATACAATTGAAAATTTTGACCTACCAAAACATTTCCCTTCCCCCAATGTCAAATCCTATATGAAATTCAAATTTTTTTTAACCATATCTCAAAAAACAAAATTCAGATTGGAGGATTAACAAAACACTATATACACAACGATTCTTGTATAAACATCATGATCACATTTACAATGACAGAGTGTGCCAAGTTCAGATTTTCTCTAATTTTTGGATTCAAAGCCCTAATTTGTTATGTTTGGAGGATGAACGAACCTGTGCTCTTTTCCTTCAATCTACTGGAGTATGGCGGGGCAGCGGCGAGTCGGGGGTGGATCGGAAGCTCCTCTTCTCAGCCCTTTTCGTTCTCTCTCTCTCTCTCTCTCTCTCTCCTCTGTAATGCTTAACGTATCACAGAGCTGAGGGAATTTTGAATGAATTCAAATTTTTTTTAAAAAAAATTACTAACCAAAACGACGTCGTTTTGGTTAATTATATTTTCAGCCGTCGGATGAACACACTTCAGGGATCACTTCAGGGGCAATACTTCAGAGGATTCTGATACCATTTTTAAAGCTTTAAATGTCTTGGTCCTCAACTTTGCCACTACAAAATTAATTTTTAAAAATAATTGTTTGTAAAGGTTGTTGCTGTTACCATTATCATTTAAAAAAAAAAAACCATTTAAAAATAAATATATTTAAAAACAAGCCAAAAAAAAATAAAAAAATAAAAAAGCTCTTGGACAAAAGCCCAAGCTCTTCTCCTATAAGACCGTTATCATGCATAGGCTCATGGATAACAACCCAAAATCACGCATAGGCTCTTGGATATCAACCCAAAAAGAGGCCGGTAAGACCCAAAAATGGGCATGCTAGAATTAGGGGTGAGTGCGGATAAGTTGGGATTATGAAATTTCTAATGTGTCATTCGTTTGTTGCCCGTTAGATTGGTATATTGAAGAAAATCAATCTGCATCCGTTTGTCAATTTAGTGGATGTAGATTGAGCAAATTGGCGGATGGATGCAAATCAATTTGGTGATTAAAATTTTATAAATTTTCAATATAATTTAATTTGTATACTTTTCTCAAAAAAATAAAATAAAAAGTATTACAGTCAATGACTTAAAAAAGTATCACAATCACTGAATATTTCATCCAAAGAAAGAACGTTTTAAACTTTAGAATATTATAATCACTGTATATTTCATCCACATATCACAATCATAGTATGCCTTATTCACATAAAGTATTACAATCTGTGATTCTTAAAATACAAAAATAATTCGAACAACAAAAACCATGAACAGAGTAGTAGTAGAGATTGTATGTCTCTATATTGTTACATCTATATCTGTTTTTGAAAACAAAACCCAACCGGCATATATCATCTTTTTTATTTATTATTTTTAAAGTTAGATTTAAAAACAAAAAAATATAGATAAATAATACATTTATTTTTTTCAATTCAAAAAATATATTCAAGTTGAAAACTCTGTTTCAACAGAATATATTTAACAGAATATTTAAACTCTTTTTCAATTAAAAACACAAAGAGAATATCTAAATTAATTGAAAACACAAAATCTTACCAATTACTTGGGGTGCTCATGGTTTGGCGGTTCGATTGGGGTCAAAGGAACTTCAAATTCGTCATCCGTCCAAAACTAGACGGATTGAAAAAAATCAATTTGCAACCTTCCATTCGTCATTATGCATCAATCTAAAATGTGACGGATCGATTTGGTTCGGTCGGTTTGAATGGATCGATATATCCCCTACTCACTCCTAACTGGAACATTTTCTTGCAATCTACAGAAAGACGGCTATCCCACAGTAAGACCAAAAATTGGCATGTGGAGATGTTTTCATTTCTAATGGTGGTATTTAAAAAAAAAAAAAAGGAAGGCGCTGGCCACAAATTTTCCAATGCAACTTTGCAGAGAATGGTGCGCAAGCCTAAAAAAAATGGCGACAGAGGTTTGCCTACAGAGGCCAACAATAGAAAAAAATACCACAGTTCAAAATTTACTTTGACATTATAAATTGAGGGTGTTAAACTAATAATTTGTAATGTGAATTTGACAGCCACAAGCTGCATTGTGGCTGCCGTCAGTTCACGCACCAAAGATGAATGTGTGCTAGCGTGCACCATTTGAGTTCACATTGTATTGATTGCCTATAAAAAAAAAGAAAAGTTAGGGATCATGAAATTTATGAAAATAATCATAAAAAATTTGTGACATTTAGATTACCTTGATTAGTGTGTGGTGTTTTATTTTAAGTGTAATTCAAGGGTCATCAATCTTTCATGATCACTTTTATAAATTTTTTTTCATAATACATAGCATTGCTCGCAATTTGCAATTCGTGCTCCATTATACAATAAGGCCATGTTTGTTTGGGCGGACTGGATTAGCATTCCCATGACTAATAGTCCTAAGATTACGAATCCGTTGGATTATGTATCCTATCTTAACTAATAGTCAAGTTTAAAATAATGAATCCATTGTTTAACCAAACATCGGATTAATAATTTTATTGAGCTATTAGTCCAATCCCAAGCTCATCTCCATCCAAACAAATATGGCCTAATGGGTATCATTTATTCTGTAACAGTAAATAACACATCCAAGTAAAAGATTAACTCAACTTTCGTACCATAATCTTCATGCTTTCCTTTTCCTATTTTTCTTTTCCTTCCTTTTAAAGTCGTCGCTATATGAAGGGCTCCTGATTCAACCGGAATTTGTGCTATTTTTCCCTGCTAAGCTTTTGTGTTAGTATTGCTCACAATAGTGAAGAGCTTCTTTAATGAGCCTATCAAAGTTATTGTAGGATAACCCTCCAACATCAGTTGCTTCTTCTGCTTCCTTCTTCAATTTGAGAGCTTTCTTTCGCATTTGCTTCCCCTTATCACCTTCCAACATTTCATTAATAAGTGCTACAATTTCATTGCGCTTCACATCATGATTAACCTCCATTCCAATCCCCCACTCGGTGCATGCATATCGACAATTTGTTTGTTGCTCAGCAAAGAAAGGCCAACAAATTATGGGTACTCCTACACATATGCTTTCCAATGTAGAGTTCCAACCACAATGTGTTAGAAAGACACCAATTGATGGGTGGGAAAGTACTTGTTCTTGTGGGCACCAACTTACTAGCAATCCTCTATCTTTAGTCTCCTCAACAAAGTGTTCAGGCAAGATTGCTGAATCGCCCATTACAATATCAGGTCGAACGATCCAAAGAAATGGGTGCTTACTATTTGCAAGCCCCCATGCAAATTCCTTCAGATGTTGGTCTGTCATGACGGTTATACTTCCATAGTTGACATACACAACAGAGTTTGGTTCCTTCGTATCAAGCCATTGGAGGCATTTCGTGTCTTCCTTCCATAAACTTGAATTAAGTGACTTGAATTCACCATCAATCACCTGCTTGGATAGCAAAGAAAGTGGCCCAATAGTGTAAATGTTATGGAACTTGGACGCGATAGCCTGCAATACTTGATGCTCCAATGTGTCGAAAGTGTTGAAGATGATTGCAGATGCTTTTAAGCAATTTTGTACTTCCTCACTCAGGTAATTGAACAAGATGTCATTAGGATCTGTGGTTCTGATAAAGGATGGCATGTCCTTGAGCCGAATGTTCCTCATGCCAGGGATCCAATCTATAGTTGTGTCAAGAGAGCCATCACTTTGGAAACTCTCATCTGTAACACACAAGGACATAATTACATTCTTTTTTCACTTTAATTCCAAAAAATTGAAGCAATAAAATTCAAACAATTATATATATATATATATATATATGTATTCCATGCATGGTAAATCAATAGAATAAATAATCATGTCATGCAAATCTTCTTGGGCATAGCATAATGTGTTTTAGAGTATATATAATAGCATTAATAAACAAAGAGTTAGTGTGTTTGGTTTGAGTTTTCTGAATTCAGTTTTTTGAAAATTGTGTTTTTTTTTGTTTTTCGTGTTTTTTTGGTTTTAGTAAATATTTTTTAAATTTTAGGAATTTTTTTTTTACTTTTTTAGATGCATCTCACTTAAATGTATTTAAATAATAAAATATTTGTGAAAAAATATTTTTAAAAATTAATAAAAACACAAAAATATAAAAAAAAATGTACTGAATTTTTGTATTTTTGTATTTTTTGGTATTAGTGTATTTTTTTTATAAAAAAAATTCACAAATATTATATCTTTTAAGTGTATTTATGTTAGGTGTGTCTAAAAATTTTAAAAAATTGCTTAAAATATTAAAAAACTTTATTTGAAAAAATTAAAATACGAAAAATAAAAAAGTAGAATTTTTTGAAAACCAAAACCAAACAAGTTGTTGTTATTCAAGCCTAAAAGTTAGACCCATTTTTTAGAATCAGTGACTTGTCAAGAAAATGACCAATTATTTTCTTGATATATCACTAGTTTTAGAAAGTTAGTCTAAAAAGTAAATTTTTATATCATTTTTCATAAAGAAATAGTAGCACACCTACTCACTAATCGATCCGAAAAAGTAATCAATCTCAATTACATATTAATTTATTTTTGTGTAAACTTTTAAACATTATTGTACGTGTTATGGAACTTGGATGCGATAGCTTGCAATACCTGATGCTCCAATGTGTCGAAGGTGTTGAAGATGATTGCAGATGCTTTTAAGCAATTTTGTACTTCCTCACTCAGGTAATTGAACAAGATGTCATTAGGATCTGTGGTTCTGATAAAGGATGGCATGTCCTTGAGCCGAATGTTCCTCATGCCAGGGATCCAATCTATAGTTGTGTCAAGAGAGCCATCACTTTGGAAACTCTCATCTGTAACACACAAGGACATAATTACCTTCTTTTTTCACTTTAATTCCAAAAAATTGAAGCAATAAAATTCAAACAATTATATATATATATATATATATATATATATTCCATGCATGGTAAATCAATAGAATAAATAATCATGTCATGCAAATCTTCTTGGGCATAGCATAATGTGTTTTAGAGTAAATATAATAGCATTAATAAACAAAGAGTTAGTGTGTTTGGTTTGAGTTTTCTGAATTCAGTTTTTTGAAAATTGTGTTTTTTTGTTTTTCATGTTTTTTTGGTTTTAGTGAATATTTTTTAAATTTTAGGATTTTTTTTTTTTACTTTTTTAGATGCATCTCACTTAAATGTATTTAAATAGAAAAATATTTGTGAAAAAATATTTTTAAAAATTAATAAAAACACAAAAATATAAAAAAAAATGTACTGAATTTTTGTATTTTTGTATTTTTTGGTATTAGTGTATTTTTTTTAAAAAAAATTCACAAATATTATATCTTTTAAGTGTATTTATGTTAGGTGTGTCTAAAAATTTTAAAAAAAATGCTTAAAATATTAAAAAACTTTATTTGAAAAAATTAAAATACGAAAAATAAAAAAATAGAATTTTTTGAAAACTAGAACCAAACAAGTTGATTGTTATTCAAGCCTAAAAGTTAGACCCATTTTTTAGAATCAGTGACTTGTCAAAAAAATGACCAATTATTTTCTTGATATATCACTAGTTTTAGAAAGTGAGCCTAAAAAGTAAATTTTTATATCTTTTTTCATAAAGAAATAGTAGCACACCTACTCACTAATCGATCAGAAAAAGTAATCAATCTCAATTACACATTAATTTATTTTTGTGTAAACTTTTAAACATTATTGTATGTGAAGTGACATATTTTTAAATAAAAAACATCTATATTCACCACTTACTTGTATTATCTATACTAATTATATTAAAAAAAAGTTCTACAAAAAGGTACATAAGACCGAAAGTTTATGGTAAAAACAATTTTACCACTTGGAGAACATATGTATTACAATAATAATTTCACAAGCATATATTTTAATTCTTATTTATTTGAATTACACATAATTCTTTGAAAATTAAGGAGAAAATAAGCATTTGTGATAAAATTAGAAACCATGGGAAGGGAAGATTGGCATAAGAATTAATATAACAATACTTGGTAGTCCAAATTTTCATAGTCCAAATGACTCAAATATTTCAAAATAACGTCATTTAAAAATAAAATGATGTCGTTTTGATACATTTAAACCATTCAAAATCCCACAAATTCGAACTACCAAATATTCCCTTAAATATAATGAGTATTTTGAAGAAGAGGAAGTAAGTAAGTAAGTAATACCTTTGAATGGGAAAATGCCTCTTTGGACAAGTTGAGGGTAGTGAAGGTAGCCCATGAAGCCACAAGCCGATGCAGTCCAAAATTGCACCTCTGGAATCCCAGCTTCTTCTGCGGCTTTCATGGCAAAGTTCATCGCTCCATCAGATACTACGCACGTAACACCTGGCACTTGCCGCGATGCAATCGAGTTGTTGTTGTTGTTGTTGAGCTTTTTTAATAAAACTCGAAAGGGATCCAAACAGTTGTCTCGCATTGCGATGCAGAGGGTCGGAGGATCTTGAGTGGCATCACGATCGGACGGTGGCAGCCCATCCGGTATAGACTCAAACTGGAAATCAGCACAGCCCTTTAGAAATTCAGGACCTTTGGATTGAAGCAAGCGTCTGTGGTTGAACTCGGTGTTGACGAAGGTGATGTAGAAGCCTCTGGAGTGTAGAAGCTTGGCCAGTTGCATCATTGGGTTTATGTGACCTTGTGCTGGAAATGGTACACAAACTGCATGGGGCTGCTTTCTGCTACCCATAATAACTAATATCAGCAATGCCAACTCAAAATATAAAACTAGTCTCTTTGTATAGAGCTAGAGGTCACTTAATTCAAGCATGTATGCATGGTGCTATTATTTATTAAGGATGCCAATTGAAAATGAATAATACTACATCCATCTACCAATTAATATATTAATAGATGATATGACATAATTTTAAATATTTTAAATCTTTATAATTTATATAATGAGTGAGATCATTATTTTAAAATAATAATATTATAACATAGATTATTACACTAATATTGTATTTGATTAGAAAATATAAGTAGAGATTTAAAAAATAAAATAAAAAAATAAATAATATACAAATAAAATATACTTATATTTTACTTAATTCTATACACATTTTCTCTTTCTTCTTTTCATATTCTTTATGCGTATTGTGACGGGAAAACTATCGATCAAATAAAGACACAAAAGCTGTTTCGTGTACCAATTAGAATTGGTCAAATAAACCAAGCCAAACTTCTGTCCCAATTGTATTGGTAGTTCCGTGTACCAATTTGATCACTTCTATTAACCAATCTGTAATGTCGTCAAATTGCTGTAATTTTTAATTCGATAATACTATAAATTTAGACTTATATATTCAGTATTTATCAGGAAAAAATAATTAATAATTTAAATTTAATTTATTTATAAATTTCATACTTTATCAATTTAATATTCATTACACAAATACATTCAAATAAATTATGAGCTGACAAAAGTAGATTTATAGCATTTTTATTTTTAATTACCTCTCTCACATTCATTTGCTAGAAAATAAATCAAAATAGTATAAGACAAAGGCGGCTTTATTTATTTAACTTCTTCAGGATTTTTTATTGGGCTTAAGGTAAACCAATCTAAATGACATCTTTAATATATTTTTAAATCATATTTTTTTATAAGAGTAAATTATACTTTATTCTCTTGTGAAATCTTTTTCTATGATCATTGTTAATAGGGTTTGTATTTTCTACTCTAATGAATGCTATCGAGTCAAGTTAAACCTTGCTACACATGAGGACTAGATATCGTTGTGATAGACCAAATAATTCAAAATCTAAAAAAAGAATATCTTGAATCCACAAGGAATAAAAGAATCTTCAAAGGGAAATTAAATATTATTAACAAAAGCAGTCTTTGTCATAAAATTTACCTAACTTATAATAAGAAAAATGATATGAAAGCTAATTTTCAAAACCAATTTTAGTGATGTGCAAAAAGGTGATGGACTAATGTGACAATCCAATTGGCATAGCAGCAATCTAATTGGATGAGCTGGAGAGCGATTGGACAATCCAATTAGGCCGAGTTTGACTATTCTAAATAAATATATGCTTTTTATTTTTTTTATTATATTATCTCTCTATTTTTCTGCACATCTTTTCATAAAAAAACAAAAAATACACTTATTTAGGTCATTTCAAACAACCCATTAATCTACCAAAGTATCGAGCTTTGCCAGCGACAGAAATAAATAAATAGATAAAATATGACGCAGACCAAATCACTGCGTCTATCCTTTGACTGTTGTATAGGTTTTTTTTAAGGGCAAATTATTTACACACCCTTCACGTTTAGTTAAATTATAGATTTTTACTTGAACTTTCAGAAATAACATTTAACTTCTTGAGATTTATATTTTCATAATAATTTAACCCATGCTATGAACTAAACGTTAAGAATAGTTACAGAAACATGCTGATATCACCAAAATATATATTGGTAGACGATATTACCCCTCGTATCTTTCCAAAGCACCAAACAACCTAATTTAACTTGAAATCTCTTTGATAAGTTAACAAAATTTACAAAAGAATTACGTTAGATGAAAAAAAAAAAATTAAGTTTTTGGAACCATGTTAGGTTTGTTGTTTAGAAAAAAAAAAATCACAAATTTTTTTTTGAAAAAATGAACACTAATTTAATAAAAATAAATATGAAAAAATATATTTAATTTGTAAAAATTGTTTCCAACCAATCAAAAGATAAAATTATATAAAAATGATAATTATTTTTTATTTTTTATTTCTTAACCAAATTAATTTTTAATTTTAAAAAAAAATTCTAAAACAAATTTCTAAAAATCAAACCAAACATAGCCTAAGAATTTTTTGATAAGCAATTTCTTGTGTTGGTAACCTAATTATTTGTTAATTTTATAATATTTTCACCATCTAATAAGTATTTTTCCATTTTAATTTTTCATTTCATAACTTATTCAATTAATTAATTTGGTATTCATAATTTATTTAGTTAATTTATTATTATTTTTTATTTTTATTTTTTGGGTGAATAGTTAATTTTTTTGGGTAATAAATAAGTAACATAGAATCCTTTTCAACATGGAAGGAATGAGGAAAGAGCACTCAAGTAGGTAAAAATTGAAATATTAGCTTAGAAAAATTTAATACATTATCTTCTTCTTGTTTTTTTTCCTTTTTTTTTTTTCGTATTCTATGGATTTTTTAAATTTTTTTTGCACAAATTCTATATTTTTTAAATATATCTAAATTAAATTAATCTAATCTAAATATAATGGTAGAAATAAAAACGAAAAATTATATTCATATATAAAAATTTACACAAAACATATCATAAAAATTTGCGATAGTGATGTTGTTGTAAATATATAAATCAAGTTTATAGATGTTTTGTTTTAAAGTGAAAGGTCACCATTAATTTATATCATTGTGTTTGAAAATTCTATATAAAGTTTATGCTTGTATATCATCACTCAATAACAATATGTTCAAATAGAATTTAAGGATGGAAAGTTATAGAATGTAGTCATGATAATAGGAAGAAGAAATGGTAGGCAAAAAGGCAAGATGATCACTTGTAAAATTTTAGAATATGACATCAGCAATCTAGGGAGTAATTTGTAATGAGATTACAAATCTCAGAGAAGGGAATGTAATTTTTCAAATGTGAGGGGAGATCTGTATTAAACAGAAATCTCAAAGGTATCAGTGTAATTTACCCAAGGGCATTTTAGTCAATTTACTATATTCGTTAACGGCATTAATTGCGGTGGGGTGGTATGTAATTTTTGAAACCTCAAGAGAAATCTGTAATTTAGCTAAACCTCAAGGGAGTGTAAGTAATTTGCCATTTTTTTAAAGAGACTTATGTAGGTCCTAATAAGTGGATTTCGTGTTCAATAGATCTTATGATAATTAAGAAATTGGAGTCACAACTATGCTAAAAGCACAACACTGTTGTGCCTCAATTTGAGGTGCATTATGAGCTTATTTCTATGATCTGAACCGTTCATTTTGTAGGATTTGTTGAGTACTTCATGCCTACCAAAAATCATATTAATTGAATATCAATAACTATATGATTGATAACTAAAAAAATAAACAATAAATTTTTTTTTTTAGAAATAGCATAAAAAATATGCAATTCGATCATATAGTTATTGATATCTGATTAATATGATTTTTGGTAGGCATAAAGTACTCAACAAACTCTACAAAATAACGGTTCAAATCACAAAAATAAACCCATATTGCATCTCAAATTAAGACACAACAGTCACTACTGTGCCTTTAGCACAACAGTGACCCCATTTTCGATTATTAATGGCACTTTTCATTAAATATTATTACGTAGTTGTTTGGCATGTTATTTTAGCACATCATCTTATTTGGGTCACATCACTCACATCACCTCTCTACAATATCACTTCAAACTCAACCTATATTTCACATTTTTTTCATAAAAAGTCAAAAAGTAGTCTAATTTAGCACTTCTCAAATAATCCCTAAAAAAACTTCACTAATTATTAATTTTCAGCAATAATTTGAAAATTTTGTCAGAAAAAATGTCATTAATTATAAGTTTTAGTGACAATTTAAAAAAATATCAGTAATTGACAACTTTCAGTGACAGTTTAAAAAATTCGTAGTAGAAAAACGTCACTAATTGTAAGTTTTAGCCACTATTTACAAAAATTATGACAAAAAAAAGTTACTAATCATCAATTTTTAATGACATATATAAAAAATCTTCACAAAAAAATTATTTTTAGTGACGATTTTATTGAAACTATCGTTTGGAAACAAATAATTTTAGTAACTTTTTGACTAAAATATGAGATAAAAAACTAGTATGTTTGGAATGACTCTTTAATTTTTTAAGAAAAGATGTGCGAAAAGTATAGAAAATAAGAAAATTTTTGATTTTTTGATATAAATTATAGGCTTTTTAATTTTTTTAGTAACATTTTAATTTTTTAATTAAAATACTCACATGCCAAACGAGACCTTATTTTCAATAACTTCATAGAAATGAAGTCCCACAATAAAGCTTATTGATAATTTATCTTTTTGTTAATCCCTTGAATTTATCCCGAATTATTATAATCGCAACTACAACATCCGTTGTTGAAAGTGCCCAGTTTTTTTTTTTTTCATAATTATTTTGGGATCATCTATGTAGTTATTCTCACTTTTCTATACAATCTAGACGCTATATTCAGAGTCATTTTTGACTTTTCTAAGTACCTGGATGGTCAAGGAAAGTAAGTGGTTTGGCTTGCTTATATACAATAATGATTGACATCCTCTTTTTCTCTTTTTTTTTTTTTTAAGGCTCATAAATTTTTTTGAATCTCAATCATTAATAGTATGAGCCTCACGCATACATAAAAGGGTCCCACATATGCATCTGAGATTTAAAGAGAGTTGTGGGGCCTCTAAAAAAAAGGGATCCCTAGTATTTTTCAACAACATACCATGCTATGCACACAAATTCTTTTTTGAAAAAAACGTTGTCTCTTCCTCTTTTTTTTTTTTGTTTTTTTTTTTTTTTTTTTTTAGACTCTCATAAATTTTTTTGAATCTCAATCATTAATAGTATGAGCCTCACGCATACATAAAAGGATCCCACATATACATCTGAGATTTAAAGAGAGTTGTGAGGTCTCTAAAAAAAAGGGATCCCTAGTATTTTTCAACAACATACCATGCTATGCACACAAATTCTTTTTTGAAAAAACCGTTGTCTCTTCCTCTTAAAATAATAATTTTTTTAAAAAAATTTAATTTTTTTGATAATACAATTATTACATTTTAAAAATATTAATTTTTTAAA